TGCGCTGGAGATGTGGAGGCTACACATGCAGTTTTCAGGAAACTATGGCCTTTGTTCAAGGAGAGATTCCCACATCCTGTGACACTTGCAGGAATGTTGGAGTTGAGCACTGCATATTTGCCAGTGAATCAAAACTGGAACAGATACATAGAGGAATGTGATTTGACTTATGAAGAGTTAGAAATGGAAGGGAAGATGTTGCTTGGTAAGAAAGCAGATCAAGCTTGTCAGTTGATAAATAACGAGAGGTATAAAGATGATATTTGGATGTGGGATCAGGATTGGTCCACAAAAGACTTGAAAATTCTTAAAACTAAACAAAAAAAGTTGGAAAATAAACCAAAAGTCACTAAAATTAATATTCCTAAAGAAGATCGTGAAGAAAAAGATCCTTTAGTTGAAAAATTTCGTTATTTAGAAGAACAAATACCGAAAACCACGCTTTTACCAGGTTATCCCAACTGGTATAGAAAACTAGCACTAAAACCAGGTTTAAACGATGACTGGACGCCTGGCCCGCATCTTATAAGCACATCCATGCAGATAACCCCAAAATTATTGAATCTCACATGGGAAGGATACCCTTTACATTATATCAGAGGCCTTGGATGGGGTTTACTTGTCCCATTCGCGAATGACAATGAAAATTCACAGAAAACTGTACCGATTAAATCTCTACTCATGAAATGTCCTGTTCTCACTGCCAAAACTCACCAGGATTATATCCCTGCTAATATTCGAAAAGATGTAGAAGATAATCTAGCCCGGAAAGAATTCTACAGTAAATTAAAACAAGATAAATCCGAAGGTGCATACAAAGGCTCAGGAATATGGTGTGATACAATTCTAGACGATTGTATTTTCTTCTTTAAACTGCCACATAAAAATGGCGCTGCTAACAGGGTAGGCAACCCACTCGCCAAAGATTTCCTGAATAAATTCTCAGAGAATGTCCTGGCTGGTGATTCGGAAATCGCTGAAAGAGTCTTGGATATCGCACGGAAACTAAGTTATTGGAGGAATAATCGTGATAGAATCAAAGAACAGTTGATTATTTGGTTGGATGGTACTCACGGTGCGATTTTACCGCAGATTGTTGTCTGTGGAACACTTACAAGACGCGCAGTTGAAGCAACATGGATGACAGCATCCACTCCGAAGTTGGATAGAATCGGGTCTGAGTTGAGAGCGATGGTACAAGCTCCAGAGGGTTATAAATTCATCGGCGCTGATGTAGATTCACAAGAGTTGTGGATTGCGAGTATGATTGGTGATGCGCAGCATGCGAAAATGCACGGGGCGACGCCATTCGGATGGATGACGTTAAGCGGAACTAAATCCGAAGGTACCGACATGCATAGCGTCACTGCCAAAGCTGTTGGTATATCAAGAGATCACGCAAAAGTTATAAACTACGCGAGAATATACGGCGCAGGACAAAATTTCGCTGAACAACTGTTAAAACAATTCAACCCGTCGATAAGCGAAAAGAAGCGAGGAGTAAAGCTGTCAAAATGTTTGACCTAACCAAAGGCAAACGTCTATTTCAATTAAAACCGGAGTTTTTATTTGATTTAGCCGATGTGCCTTATACCAAATGGCAAGCGCATCAAACTGCTAAACTTCACGGAAAGACTCTGAATGAGATGTTTTACAAACCAAGATGGGTGGCGGGCACAGAAAGCGCCATGTTTAACAGTTTGGAAGATATTGCGAGTCAGGATAGTCCCACGACGCCATTTTTAAACGCAAGGTTAAGCAGAGCGCTTGAACCACTTTATAATCCCGATGACAAGTTTTTGCCTACCCGGGTGAATTGGGTGGTGCAGAGTGGCGCTGTTGACTTCCTACACTTGATGCTAGTGTGTATGCGGTGGTTGATGGGTGATAAAGCTCGTTTCTCACTGAGTTTTCATGATGAAGTGCGCTATTTAGTCAAAGATGGCGACAGATACGACGCAGCATTGGCTATGCATGTCACTAATTTATTAGTCCGGGCGTTTTGTTCGATTAAATTAGGTATAAACGACCTGCCGTATTCCGTCGCGTTTTTTTCATCGGTAGAAATTGATACTGTGTTGCGAAAAGAGTCCAAACAGGATTGTAAGACGCCTAGTAATCCGTATGGCCTTGAAAAAGGTTATGCGATACCAAACGGTGAAAGTTTGAATATTTACGATGCGATACAACGAAGTAAAATGTAAAAATTTCAACTTTTCAAAGTAAATTTATGTCTAAATGATGATTTTCTTTGTTTGCAGTTATAAACATGTCGAAAACTTCCAAGAGAAAACACGTTCTGCGCGAAACAAACAAAGTTAACGATTATTTCGCGCCGCCAAGTGAAGGACAGACCATTGTACGCATCCTCGCCTCAAAAGGCAATAATCTACACGAAGTTGAAGACGCTGACAAACAGATTTACCTGGTTTCGATGCCGACGAAGTTCCGAAAGAACATCTGGGTGAAACGCGGTGATTATGTGATTGTCGAACCGATTAAAGAAGGCGATAAAGTCAAGGCAGAGATGGTTCGGGTCCTGTCCAAGGAGCATATTAAATACTTCCACAAAATCAACGTCTGGCCGGCGGGTTTCGAGATCATCTTCGACCGGCTGGGCTTCCAGAGCTTCCACAGCACGTCGTCGACTAGCAGCAGCAGTAGTGAATGGTCCACGGAG